CGGGGCGTCCCGCGGGGCGGGGCTCCAGGGCCCGCCCCCCAAGCCCACACCTCGGCCTCTAAAACAAAATCTGTGAAGCCTGCGGCGGAGAACAGAGAATAACAAATATCAGCGCGCCCACCACCCGGCTCTGTCCAATCCGAACATTACACCCGCACGGCTTGCTTATTGAAAGAAAAACAAAACCCGGATGTTGTGAAGCCCCTTGTTCCCTTCCCTTGACCCTCTTCTCCTCCTTTCCGAAGGAAACCTCTCAAGTTGGCTTGTCCCCTGGCCCCCCGGGTGCTGATTCTCTCACTACATATTTATCAGGCCACAGACAGTGCTTAGGTTGGTAGGATGCTTTTTGGCTTAATGTACACGACATGGTGTGTTCCTCTCCAAACTTTCCCCCTCCCTGTATCGTGCTTTGAGATTGAGCCATGGGGGCAAAGAAGCTTTTAGCTCATACATTTTCGCTGCTGTGTAGCATTCTATCGGATCGTATAGTATCCTTGTTCATTTTCTCACTGGTGCATACTTAGGATTTTTAAAAATGCTTCAAATGTTACTGGCTTTTTTTGTTGCTTGTTTTTTTGGTGGTGGTGGTGCTGCTGGTGGTGTTTTTGGTGTCTTCCAAACGATGCCCATCTCTGGTGCACTTGTGTGTACCCCCAGGGTAGATCCCCGGGGGGGGGGGCCCCCCCCCCCCCGGCTTTACTAGATGATTGCCAGCTTGCTCACAGAGATGTCTGTGCCAGGTGGCACCCTGTAACAGTGGGCCATTGGTAGGCTTTGTAACTAATGGCATTCTGACGTGCCCCCTTTGCTACCTCCTGGCTGCAGGAGGGAGTAATGAGGGGGCAGGGGCTGGTACAAGGCATCCCACACCCTGGCACCCACTAGGATCATTAGGATGGCTTATCTGACCTTGTCCTCAGCTGTAAGATGGCTTTCTCCTCTTTTCAGGGGGCTGAGACTAGGTGGGCCCTGCTTTTAAGCACAGGGCCCGGCCATGCACTCAGGATAGGAGCGGGAGAGTGCTACAGCTTACGTTTAATTTTTACCGGTGGGGACTCTTTTCTTGTATCTAGTGTCTTTTGTACTCGCTTTGCTAGCAATTTGGAACTGAGAGGGGCCTGGAGGCCACCCCAAGCCTTCATCCTGTCACTGGGGAGGAGGGCAGGGGTTAGCTTTGCCTGGATATGTTTCCACGCAGCCTCCCCACAGAATGTGAACTGTGGTTCCCAGTTCTTGTCCTTTTTACAGATTGTTCTAGAATTGCTGAGACCGGGGCTCCTGGGCGGCTCAGTCAGTTGGGCGGCTGACTTTGGCTCAGGTCATGATCTCACAGTTCGTGAGTTCGAGCGCCACGTAGGGCTCTTTGCTGACAGCTCAGAGCCCGGAGCCCGCTTCGGATTCTGTGTCTCCCTCTCTCTGCCCCTCCCCCGTTCACACTCTGTCTCTGTAACTGTCTGTCTCTCAAAAATAAATAAACATTAACAAAGAAAAATAGAATTGCTGAGACCGTGGGTTCCCTGCTCCCTTCTCTCCCACTTGCCAACCTTTGAGGGGAGGGCGGGACAGGCTGCCATCCAGACTCCCCTGCCGCCTCCCCCACCCCCAGCCTTGGCTGACTTTGGTGACTTTCTGGAAACTGGAGACGAGGGGCACCCCTGCTCCAAGCAAGCACTGTGCTGAGAGCATTCTGTCTTGTCTGCATCCTCTCCATCCTGTTCTGCTCTAGACGAGGATGCCGTCGTCCCTTGAGGTGACGACATGAGCCCAGGTGGTCGAGGAACTGGGACTTGGGCCCAATTAACGACAAGAGTACCTAGGCTCTGAGGGTTGGTTCAGACTAGTTCGCTCTTAGGACTGTGCCTCTCCCGCTCGCTGCCCTTGGGCCTAACCACCCAACGCCCCTGCCAACTAGCCCGCTCCAACGTCCTCTTCTCTCTCTCTCCCTAGAGACAAGAGGAGCAGCAGCGACACCGCCCCTCACCCTGGAGGGTCCTGTACAATCTCATCATGGGACTCCTGCCCTTACCCAGGGCCCGCGGGGCCCCGGAGATGGAGCCCAATTAGGTGCCTGCACCCGCCCGGTGGACGTCGGGGACTTGGGGGGCAGGACCCTCCCACCTCCTGATGCCCTGGCCAGCGCGGGGGACTTTTTCTGCACCATGTAGCATACCGGACTACCAGCCCTGCCTGTCCCAGGGGCGGGCCAGGGCAGCCACTCCAGCCCCAGCCCCGGGCCTGGCCTGGGTGCGCTGACGGAGATGTGGACTCCTGGGTCCCTGGCGGAGAAGCCAGGGGAGAGAGGGCTGACGGACTGAGCGTCTGAAGGCGGCGGTGACGGAGAGGGTGGGGACAGAGCCGCCCGCCTCTGCCGCCCACCACCATCTCAGGAAAGGCTGCTGGTGCTGGCTGCCCGTTCCAGCTGCAGGGGTGACACTGGGGGAGTCTCCCTCCCAGTGCCCCTTCACTTTGGGCCTGGCCTCAGGCCCCTGGTGCTTCCCCCCCTCCTCCTGGGGAGGGGGCCCGTGAAGAGCAAATGAGCCAAACGTGACCACTAGCCTCCTGGAGCCAGAGGACGGGGTGGGTCTGATTGGCTGCCCCAGCCCAGCGCCCAGCCATCTTCCCTGAGCCAGCCGGCGGGTGGTGGGCATGCCTGCCTCACCTTCATCTGGGGGGTGGCCAGGAGGGGCCCAGACTGTGAATCCTGTGCTCTGCCCGTGACCACCCCCCGCCCCCATCAATCCCATTGCATAGGTTTAGAGAGAGCACGTGTGACCACTGGCATTCATTGGGGGGGTGGGATATTTTGGCGGAAACCGCCCCAGCCTTAGTCCCCAGGGCGAAGCGCTGGGGGGAAGACAGGGGAGTCAGGGAGGGGGGGAAATCGCAGAAGAGGGAGGAGTCTGGGAGTGGGGAGGGATGGCCCAGCCTGTAAAATACTGTATATGCGCTGCTGTAGATACTGGAATGAATTTTCTGTACATGTTTGGTTAATTTTTTTTGTACATGATTTTTGTATGTTTCCTTTTCAATAAAATCAGATTGGAACAGTGAATGCTTTCTGCTTTCTTTCTCCCCTGCATGCTCTGGTCCAAGCCTCTGTGACCCCTATGTGGGAGGAGGTGGGAGAGGGGGTCCATGGAGCACATCGGTCTGTCTAGCTGTATCCGAAGTGAGACTCAACAGCACAGGTGCCACAGTATGTACCCAGTCTTCACGCATCCCCATCAAAAGCAAAGCCTCATGGAGGGCAGGGTTGTGTTTTTTTTGTTTTTTTTTTAAAGACTTTATTATTATTTAAAAAATATTTTGGGGAGAGCGCAAGTGGAGGAGGGGCAGAGAGAAGGGGAAAGAGGATCCGAAGCCGGCTCTGCGCGGACAGGCTGACGGCAGTGAGCCCCATGCTGGGCTCGACACCACCAACTATGAGATCGTGACCTGAGCTGAAGTCAGACGCTCAACAGACTGAGTCACCCGGGCGCCCCTAAGGATTTTAAAGAAATGTGGACACCCAGCATGGGGCTTGAACTCCCAACCCAGAGATCGGGAATTGAAGGCTCCACCCAGAGAGCCAGCCAGGCATCCTGAAGGCAGGGCTGTTTTTATCTTTTTTTGGTGCTTTCTTCTCACTTCTTCCCTGCTGGAGGAAGTATGTCCTGGAAGCTCAAAATATTTACCGAGCAAATGAGTGACCTGTAACTTATTCAGAAGCACCACCATGAAGAGTCCCTGGGAAATGTGTTGGTAAGGAGGTGGACCTTGTCCCCACCCTCAAGAAGGCAGGTGACATCGGGGAGAGCACCTCAGGCTAAGATCAAAGTGAAGTTTCACCTACACGCGGCTGCCCTAGAGCCTAAGACGCGGCCTGGCATAAAAAGCCTGTAATTAATTAGCGGGGCTGCTACCGCTATCTTCCTGAAAACGGGCAACTGGCCAAATGCTTTCCCTATGCCCTCTCCTACACGACTGGCCCAGACACAGGTTGTGCTTCGGGGAGTCCTCACCCGTAAAGGGGAAACTCAGGGGAAATGGTCCTTCTCCTGAAAGACCGGGGTAAGGTAACCGGGATCCATCACTTTGGACAGGGATTTGGCAACAGCTCGTCAAGCAAAGGATGCACGTAATCTATGCCAGCAATCGCCTTCCCGGGTGTCCTCCCTTAGCAGTGGACGCGCACAAGTGTCCATGTGTTGGCCAACCATCCGACACAGTGTCCAACAGCAGTTGAAAGGGTCTCAAGCCGTGCAACAGAACAGACAGCACTTAGCCGGAATGAACTAGAACACTGCAAACGACAAATGATGGCGAGGAAAGCAAGTGGCAAAATGGTGGTGGGTACTTGGGTGCGTCTTCTTCTCCGGATGGTCCCTTGTGCTTAAATGCCTGTGCGCAGAGCCGGAGGCCCCTGGAAGGGGGGTGGGGTGAGGGGCGGTGGTGTTCACACCCAGCTGTGTGGCAGCCGATGCTTCCAGCCCCTGCAACCGACTCCTTCCTCTTTCCAGCAAGTTTGTGGAAATATTGATAGGGCCAAACTGGATCTATCGATTTATTTACTTTCCCTTTCCGTTCCTCTTTCCTCTCTCCTGTCTTCTGTTGGATTTATGAATGCTTTTTTGAATGCTTTGAGACTTCTCTCTTGGTACTTCAGCTTTTAGTACTGCTCTAGGGATTAAACACACATCCTTACCTCTTCTCGGTCTGTTTAGGGTCAGCATTGAACCACTTCACTTACACGGTAGAGATGGCCACTGCGTAGGCCGCTGGTCCGTCCCACCCTTCCCACCATTTTGTAGCTCCAGCTTACATCTCCACGCATTACAGATTCTGCAAGGCAAGGCCAGAACTTTTGCTTGAACTTGAAGGACTTCCATTAACATTTTGTATAGTGTAGTTTTTGCCGGTGACAAGTTCTCTTCAGTCTCCGTTTATCTGAAAACGGCTGGTCTTCACTGGCTATAGAATCCTGGGGTTGACCGTTTCTTTGCCATACCTTGACGACGTTCCGATCTCTGGCCTCCCATTTCTGATGAGAAATCCAGGATCGCCTGAATCACAGTTCCCTTGATTGTAGTACGTGATTTTGGTAAGGCTGCTTTCAAGACTTTATTTAAAAGGTCTTTTCCTCTTTTTCAGACTGGATAATTCCTATGAATGTAGTTCCAGTGCATGAAATCGCTCAACCCCTTTCTGCTGTTAGGTCTACCAGTGAATTTTAAAAATTGCTGATATAGTATCTTCAGTGTTAGAACATCCGTTTGGTTGTTTCCATTTTCTTTCTCTGTGGGGACTTCCTATTTTGCAACATTGTACATGTATTTTTCTTTTACCTCAATGAGCGTCATTGTAGCAACTGCTTTAAAGTCCTTGTCTGTTGATTCCAACTTTTTTTAAATTTCCTTAACATACGCTCCCGCTCCACGCCCAGTGTGGGGCTTGAACTCACAACCATGAGATCAAGAGTCATGTGCTCTGAGCCAGCGAAGCACCACCCCCCCAACACTTGGGTTCTCTTGGTCATCTTGTCTTTTCCCTTGAAAATGAGTCACATTTCCCTCATTCTATGTATATTGGGTAATTCTGCCTTGTGTCCTGGATATTGTTACATTGTAGCCATTCTGGATTCTGTTATATTCCTCCAAAGGGATGTGAATGTTCTTGTCTTGGGGAGATCTGGAAATCCCAGACACACACTGTTGTAGTTGCTGACAGTGTAAATCCAGTTTGCTTCAGTTATGCTGAGTTGGCCCCACACATCCATAGCCCAGTGGTCAGCAAGAGACTTGGGTTGAATTTATACATACAACTTGGGGTTTCCCTTCCCTGGCACCCTCCTTTCCAGTAGCTGTGGTTATTCGGGGTTCTGTCCTCTGCTTCTTCAGGCCAGTAAGATAGACGCTTTTCTACCTGAGTTTTAGCTGCCTGGCACAGTGCCAGGGGCCGCGGCCTGCCCTCAGTTAACACCGTAGGCAAACACACAGACGCCAGAAAACTACTGTGGTGGGGGCTCTTGCTGCAACTTTCAACTGCCTCCCCCAAATCCACCTGCTTTTTAATCGCCATCCTGAGGTTTCCAGTAGTTTTGTTTTGGTTTTTGGTATTTTGTCTAGAATGTATAGTTATCTGCAGGGAGACGGTTGTTAGAAACCTAATGCATCACACCATAAGCAGAACTGCTGGTGGTTTTTTTTTTTTTTTAATGTTTACTTATTTTGAGAGAGAGAGAGAGAGAGAGAGAGAGAGAGAGAGAGAGAGAGAGAGATTGAGAGGAGAAAGAGCAAGCAGGAGAGGGGCAGAGGGAGAGGGAGACAGAGAATCCCAAGCAGGCTGCCACTGTCAATGCAAAGCCCGATTCAGGGCTCGAGCCTATGAACTGCGGGATCATGACCTAAGCCGAAATCAAGAGTCGGATGCTTAACTGACTGAGCCACCCAGGTGCCCTTGTATTTTCTTTTTAATAGACCTTAGTTATCATTTTTTAGGACTGGAAGTGGGGAATCCTAACTCTCCAGGTTAGATGGAGAGTCAGGGGTCCAGGGAGAAAGTCAGAGAAGGCCAGACTTTATTAGCAAAGTCCAAAGCTCTCCTAGGAACACAAAAGGCGGCTCACTTGTTCCAGAGGGAATGGAAACACCTAAAGTCACCTCTGTGGCCTTTTCTCTCAGAACCAAGGTGCTGAAGTCCTGCAACTTGGCAGAGTTGAGACTCGGAGCGCCTGGCAAATGAGGTCCAGGACTGAACCTTTGCCACTGGCGAGCTGTGCCCCCTCTAGCAAGCTAATACCCAACTTGAACTGGTGCTCCCCACCCAGCTCCAGTAATCCCACCCTGCAATGGTGGCTTCTGGAAGGAACAGATTTACTTTTCATTGTTTATGTTGTTTTTTTCTTCCTTAAAAAGACTGCATGTCTGTCTTTGTAAACCTTTCAAGTTCTGCACTACGTGCCCAAATGATCTCTCCAAACAACAAATGACATGTAAAATGCTACCATGCTAGTCTTTTGGAAGGAATCAACATCCCAAATGCATTTATACACTCCCTGATGTCAGACTTTGGGAAGTCTTTCCCAAGCGTGTCCAAAGGAAACCAGTTCAATGTCACTCAACAGCAGACTCATTAAATAGCTTCTGGTTCAGTGTGGTTTTGGAACTCAGTGCACAATGCACTGACAAGGACCTCCAGGACATAGAGAAAGCAAGATGCAAGAAAAGCTAATTCTACATGTGCGTAACAGTAACTAACACAGAGCGATTTCCATTCAAAGAATGTATTCATTCAACTCCCACATATCAGGGGAATGTACTATTACCCCATTTGACACATGGGGCAACAGAGCCACAAAATGGTCACTCGTCCAAGGTCACATAGCTACATGGTAGGGTCTGCATTTAAACCTACCAGTCTGATTTAAAAGAGAAAAAAAAAAAGGGGGGGGGGGTGCCTGGGTGGCTCAATCGATTACACGTTCGACTTCAGCTCAGGTCACGATCTTGCAGGTTTGTGGGTTTGAGCCCCGCATCAGGCTCTGTGCTGACAGTTCAGAACCTGGAGCCTGCTTTGGATTCTGTGCCTCCCTCTCTCCCTCCCTCACTTGTGTGCGCTCGTTCTCAAAAATAAACATTAAAGAAAAAAATTTAAACCTGCCAACCTGGAAGGATTCACTCTCCAAGGCTGCCAGGGGTGACCTCTGGGAGGCAGATATGAAAAAATACCCGAGTTTGGCGGTGGGCAAGGGGGTGGGGGCAACGACAACTTTTCACCCCATGCATGTGTGTTGCTTGAATGTCTTCGTACAAAAACGCAAAACCTGCCTGTCCTTCTGGATCGAGCTGAAGGCCCTCCCTCAACTCCGGGCCTGCCTGATGGTTTTCAGAGGTGACCACTAGGCCTCAGGACCTCGTGAAGGCAAAACCTGAGTCGGTGACAAGCAGCGGTGCAAGTAGATGGTGTCTACTAAGTGTCCTGCGTAGAAGCCTCCCTGTCAGCCCACATTCTGGCCCTTACTTGGGGGAGGCTGTGCCCTCATCTGCAGTATGGGCGTCCACCCCCGCGGGGTTCCTGTGAGGATCACTTTAGCTAAAGTACAAGTGCTGTTAAGGGCAGGAGGCAGTCAGCGTGGGGAGGTTAGCTATCAGTAGGCTCTTCTGACCTGCCAACCGCGACCTAAGCCTCCATTTCTCCATCTGAAAAGGGCAAACTGGACATACCTCAACAGACAGACACGTTTGGATTTACAAAAAAAAAAAAAAAAAAAAAAAAAAAAAATCGCCAGAAACTGACAAAAGGGGTCTGCACTGCAAAGGGAAACCACAGAATGTAGGGCTCTGATGGGACCGAGAGCTTTTTTTATTGTTGTACTTTTTTACCTTTGCATGTGTTACTTTTCTGAGTAGCACCTGTTCCACTAGAATGTTCTGAGGCTTCGACACATTAAGCACTTAACAGAGTTTGGCTACTACACATACCACAAACAACAGAAGTGGGGTGTGGAGTGGAGAAACCTGGCAGGCCCGAAGTCAGCCCACTTCCTTTCATTTGGCAACTCTAGCATCCCGAAAGTATTTGTTACCTTTACAGATTAAAAAAAAATTTAAGTTGATTTATTTTGAGCGGGGGAGAAGCAGAGAGAGAGACAGGGAGAGAGAATCCCAAGCAGGCTCTGCACTGTCAGCACAAAGCCCGATGCAGGGCTCAAACTCCTGAACGGTGAGATCACGACTTGACTCAAGATCGAGAGTTGGACGCTCAACTGACATAACCACCAGGGCGCCCCTACCTTTTACAGATTAGCTCCTCCTTCCCAAGTAGGCTAGAAATCTGCCGGAGGGATTAGAAACCACAGGATAATCATCGTGCTCTTCCTGGAGACTTGGGGAAATCCATTTTTATGGTAATACTATCATGTAATATGGGGGAATATGAAATGTGAAGATACGAGAATAAAGACGTTTCTCGCCCGAGGCTGGCAGCTTCCAGCACCACCCCTAGATTCCCAAGGGGTCCATTCTGGAGGACTCCATTTCTGCCACAAGGGGTACAGAGGTGAAGCTTGAAACGCGTCAGAAAAGATTCTGGGATGACAGTTTTGTTTTTATCCATCCAGACCCACCTGCTCCCCCTTGTGACCAAGGCCCCACATTACCAAGCTCAAAATTTCCAAGAAAGGGGATTTTCACACACTGATAATTGGTGCCCCTGATTTGACACTGACAGGGTGCAGAAAGGGGCCCCTCCAGAAACACAGCCCTAGCCTCCCCTAGGGAAGGGCAGAGGTGACCAGGAGAGTCGGGGAATTGAGTTCCCCCTCCCCGGGGAGACCATTTTTTTGTTCTCTCACCGTAGCAGGACGCAAATACGAAAGGAGCCGCTGATGTGATTTGTTCAAACGGGCCAGACTCACACCTCACACACTTCTACCTTAAGGGAGAAACCCAAGGAGGGTGACGAGAAGTGGAACATACTCAGGCTGCCGAGTCAAGACAAAGCCGGTGTCTGAACCAATGAAAGCTCTGACCTCTACCAGCTGTGGGACTTGAGGCACATTACTGAAGTGTCACGGAACTTTAAAACGAAGCTGGGCGCCTGGGTGGCTCAGTAGGTTAAGTATCCAACTCTTGTTCTCAGCTTGGGCCATGAACTCATGGTTCCTGAGTTCAAGCCCCGCATCAAGGCTCTGTGGTGACAGCACAAGGTCTGCTTGGGATTCTCTCTCCTCTCTTTGCTGCTCCCCCCTTGTCTCTCTCAAAATCAACTTTAAAAAATAAAATAAAATGAAGCTATTGTGACTGTGAGTCTGCGTGGTGCCTGGTACACAGAGAATCTAAACAGAAGGCAGCATCAGTATCCCCTCTCTTACTTCTTTCTTCTTTCCCGTTAAATGTAATTCTTGTCACTGAGACCAACCACTATGGACCTGAATTATTCAAGGGACAGGTGGAACCAGAAGCTTCTATGCACTGTAGAATTTGAACAATCTAATTCTTGATGCATTACCCAGGAAAACAGTGGCAGGAATGGTGATGGAGGGGAGGAATCTCTGAGTCACATCGAAGCATCCAGTAAGATTTCTTCAGGTTAAAAAAAGCAATTGGTAGGATCACTTCCTGTCACAGGAAGATGTTTATAATGTGGAAGAAAAACAAATCCTAAAGCAAATAACTTTATTTCTATCATTCCTTTTTAAAGAACCAAGGAAATATAGAAAATATAAAAAACCACACAAACAGCTGCAATTCAGGGGGGAAAGGAAGGACTGACGGGGCCCTCGAAAGCAACAGCCTCCAGGATGGTCTGAGCTGCATCGGGGGTGGGGGCTCCGAGAAGACGGGCTCTCACATCCTAGCTTGGACCCCAGTAAATCAGAATCCCCAGGGGCTGGGACCCCGGCACCTGCCTTTTTAATACAAGTTTTCCCATTAATATTCACTTTGCAAGGTCTCGCCCTAATGCCCGAGGGAACTTTGGTAACATTTCCTCTCTTCCAAAATCCAGGCTGAAACCCAACTAATCCTGAACTAAAGCTCCAGAACAGCACACCAGATGGCACCTGTTGTTTTTCGGGATCTCCGACTCTGGAGGAAATACATCCCGCCTGCCACGTCGTTTCCGCTCTAGGGCACCTGTCTGCATTTGGGACTGTGGCTCCACTAGTGTTTCACGGGGCCCGGCCTTACTCCCCACCTGGAGTCATCGTCTTCTCCTCTGTATGACATCAGGCGGGGAGTAAGTCCAAGAAGGTGGTGAGAGGATCCTAAGCGATGCCCAGTGAACAGCCCTGGACGGTGCTGGGACGGGGGCGGCCAGTCCCTACGCCCCGCATTTCGCAGCTGCTGGCGCTTGCAAGTCGCGTGTCTGCACAACTCCTCCTGGGAAGGAGATGGTCTGGACCGGTCCGAAGACTTCAGCTCTTCCCTCACCTGGAGCCGCCTTCGTGGGGGGAGGGGACGGGAAGGCGCGGGCAGGCTGTAGGCCAGCGTCGCCGGGGCCGCCAGATCTCGGTTCACTTGGGGCCAAGGCACTCCACAATCCCATTCCCCTTCATGCCGTCAAAAAAGAAGAAGTTGTTGTGAGGAGGGTCCCTTTGAGACAGGGCCTGGGGAGAAAAACAAGAAGAGGGCTCAGCTCAGATGCTTTCAAGCGGATAACAGGGCGAGAAAAAGAAAAAAACCTCAAGCACAAGATCTTCTAAAACTGTGCCGTTTGGGCACTGGCTCTCAAAGGAGGTGGATTTTGCTTCCCGGGGGCTAACGGGCCATGTCTGAGACATTACTGTGCCTGCCAGGCTTCTGCTTTGTCCCTTACCAGTTGGGGGTCTCTGGACAAATCAGTTAGCCTCGCTGAACCCCGTTTTCCCATGTGAGACGAAAACACTACCTGTACCGTCCTAGGCTTAAAAGAGATGATGTACCTCAACTGCCTGAAAGTACACTCCACGTGCAGGAGCCTGCTGGCCATGGGCAGCAGTAATTATTTATGACTGTCCAACTGAGAAAGGAGGCAGCTTGTCCCGACACGGTGGAGGCGGCAGCCGTCATCACCTGTTGGGCCACACACTGATGCGGAAGCGGCTCTCCTATGAGGAGACACGTTTCCTGCGATCTTCTGCATGGTGGGCCGGGGCTAAGATCCAGAAAGGCTGGGAGGTACTATTTAGCCATGGAAATGGTGATTATTTTGCGAGGCTAACAGAAGTACACAGCACATTAAAAAAAAAAATTTTTTTAATGTTTTATTTTTGAAAGCCAGAGCCAAAGCATGAGTAGGGAGGGGCAGAGAGAGAGAGAGAATCCAAAGCAGGCTCCAGGCTCTGAGCCATCATCACAGAGCCCAAAATGGGGCTCGAACCCACAAACCGTGAGATCATGACCTGAGCCAAAGTTGGAGGCTTAACCAACTGAGCCACCCAGGTGCCACACCCCCACAGCACCTTTAATATGTTTTTATTTACTTTTCAGAGAGAGAGAGAGAGAGAGAGAGAGAGAGCGAGCATGGGAGAGAGTGAGCACGAGTTGGGGAGGGACAGAGAGGGAGACACGGAATCCAAAGCAGGCTCCAGGCTCTGAGCTGTCAGTACGGAGCCTGACATGGGGCTCAAACTCGTGAATCGTGAGATCATCACCTGAGCCGAAGTCAGACGCTCAACCGACTGAGCCACCCAGGGGACCCCACAGCACATTAATGATGGGGCTAGCCATAGGTCACGATCTCGCGGTCCGTGAGTTCGAGCCCCGCGTCGGGCTCTGGGCTGATGGCCCGGAGCCTGGAGCCTGTTTCCGATTCTGTGTCTCCCTCTCTCTCTGCCCCTCCCCCATTCATGTTCTGTCTCTCTCTGTCGCAAAAATAAATAAACGTTGAAAAAAAAAATTTAAAAAAATAAAAAAAAGATGGGGCTAGCCCTCCTGAAATTACATGCTGAATCATGTGTACTAGAGGAAGGACTCATACGTGTCAATGAGTTTTCTCAGAGGTTCTTAATCAAAAAGGACTGCCATTTAAAGACATGGACATCGGGGCGCCTGGGTGGCGCAGTCGGTGAAGCGTCCGACTTCAGCCAGGTCACGATCTCGCGGTCCGTGAGTTCGAGCCCCGCGTCGGGCTCTGGGCCGATGGCTCGGAGCCTGGAGCCTGTTTCCGATTCTGTGTCTCCCTCTCTCTCTGCCCCTCCCCCGTTCATGCTCTGTCTCTCTCTGTCCCAAAAATAAATAAACGTTGAAAAAAAAAATTTATAAAGACATGGACATCATCCAAGCAAAAACCTCTAGGCAGGAGCACCATGCCTGTCATTCTTAAAGGACCTTTTTTACAAGGTTAGGAACACGCTCGAAATATCTTGAACTTCTCTCTGAATTGGGCACTAATCCCAATCTGTTTCTTCATCTGTAAAATGGGGATAATTATACCTACTTCAAGTGGTTGTTCAACCATCCATCCACGGAAACCACCTAGAGCATCCACCCCTGTGCCAGGTATCGTGCTAGGTACTGAGGATTCTGAAGCATGGTTAAGACAGAGGTTCGCTTCCCTGCGCACACATACAAAATGGCAAATCGCCAGCACCTGCCTGGTATAGTTTTTGGTGAACATGAAACACGATCAAGCTTGCAATGCGTCTGGCCCGTAATAAATTCTCAAAAAGTGGGAGGTGCTATTATGAACAGGAGCCAGGGGGTCTCTCACCAAACTGTGAGGAGATCCCAGGCACTCAGCCGGGTGGAAGGGCCCAAGGGCCCACAGTTAGAAGTTCTAGACCCTAGAACTCAAGTTACAGGAGGTGATACAACGGGGCCCGATATGGCTGCCGCCACCATACTGCAGGCAGGGAGGCCTAGCAGGGACAGCGGGAGACAAAGTAAGGACGACTTACACCTAGGGAAGCATGACAGGACAAGGGACGTGGACGGAACATGTAGTATTTGGAATGATGGCAGGAAGGAAGAAAAGAAGAGGATCCCAAGGGAAGAGACTTACGTTTGCCCCCCGCCTCCTAACATTTATTATTATGGGTGGTCAGATGGTCGTCACGAGAGAAGGGGGGAAGGTCTGCGGCCCTCAGATTGTGGAACCCTGGTGCCAACTGGCTGAAGGCAATACTGTGTTAAGTAAGGGTGGGGTGGCAGGGACAAGACACCAGGCCATGGGGTGAACATGGGGCAAAAGGTAAAGTGCTTCCCAAGCAAGATGGGGGTAGGAGGAGATTCCAAACACACCCAGCAACCAAGAATGCAGAGTACTCTGGCCGTCTGGGATAAACAGAAACAAGATGCGGGCAACAGCTGTCCCCAGCAGGCAGGAAGGAGGGGGCTGCATTAGAGGTTAGGACTGGGACGCAGGGAAGCCACTGCAAACAATGGGGTCAAGGCCAGCTGCCCCGACCCCTAATCTCCATCCCACGTGAAAAACCCAGGGAGCAGCTTCTCGGCGGGGGGTACAAAGTGTGGCCGAAGACACAGAGGCGGTGTCCCGGGTCCATGAGGACAGCACCTGAAACACAAGGGCCGAGCGGGGAGGGGCACAGGCTCTGAGGCCAGACGGCCCGGGCTCGGATCCTGGTGCCGCCATTCTCTGCGCCTCGGCTCCTCCTCTGTGCCTCGGGGGTCGCACCAGTTCCCACCTCCGAGGGTTGCTGTGAGGAAGAGATGAGCACATCCATGTGAAGAACGTGGTCCGAGTGAGGGTACAGGGTGGGCCTTCGATACGCGCTGTTGCGGTGTTGTCACGGTAACAGGCTACGGAACCGGGTCTGTTCCCTTAGGATTCTTCCATCGCCGCCCTCCTTCCCGCCCAGTCTGTCTATAGGCAGCTTCCCAACCTCAGCGCGGGCTTCTGGGCAGCCCTACCAACCGACCGGGCGCACACACCACGATTCTCACGGCAGTCTGGGCTCACCAGAAGGCACGAGCAAGGCAAACGGCGCGGCCATCACATCCCTCTCTTCTCCCTCTACCTCCCTGGTGCTCGCCCTGCTCCCTAGGACACAAGAGGGTCTGAAGGAGAGAATTTGGTTCAGAGAGAAGGACCAGGAAAGAGAAGCAAGAGCCTTTAGAAGACGGTGGCAGGACCATCAGACTCAGTCAAATGTGTCCAGAGCAGACGTACTGACTTCAAGACAAAGTAGAGAGTGGGGTCTCCACACGCCTCTCCCGAGCTCCAAGATGACGTGTGAATGGGCTCGGAAAATCATTTAACGAGGCATGACTCCACTCCAAGAACAAAAAGGACAAATCATCACCGCCAATCTACTGAAGCAGTCAAGGACGTACAAAAGGCAAAGTGAACATCTTTGGGCAAGTATCTAAGTCCCAAAGAAAGCATTTGGGAATATGCTAGAATTCTGACAACCCAAATGTTCCAGAAGAGACTCAAAACGTTGTGCTAGTTACCAGTTACGGGACCCCAGTTGACTTCCCTTCTGAAAGGGACGGTGCCATCAAACCTAACGTGTTCACAGGTCACCCTCTGCAGAGCTCCATGGGGCTCCCAGCACCATGCACACGCTCCCCTGGTACCGAATGCCCCCTTCTGAGTAAACACCCGTAGCGTGTGCATTAACAAGAAGCTCCAATGCCACGATCGAGGACAAAGAAACACCGCTTGAAGTAGAAGTTAAGGGCACAGGTCTTGGAGGCCCATCTCCGGGCCTCGATGTCCTCCCCTTACACGGAGATCATGACAGTACCACTTCACAGAGCTGTGAGAAGCAGAATACGTGACAAGGGTCAGAAGCACCACGCAAGCAATCAGTACAGTCAGGGGACAGTGGCAGGTACACCTGAAGACACTATGCTCAGCTCCGGGCACAGCACAGAGCAGACACTCAAAGATCATTTGCTGAATGCTCATCGGGATGGGCGGGAGGATAAGGTAGAAAAGGGAAGAAAGGAAATAGGGCACGAAACAAGGATGAATGGGGTCAGAGAAACCAGGCAGTTCTCTAAGGCAGTCATGGTTCTTTCGGTTGGCACTCTGACAAGGTCACGGTGGACCAATGATCTGCTCCTCAGGGACTCTTTACCTTCACAATTTCCTGGGCCAGGATCCCTCCAACCACTGCACACACGGGGGCCATCTCAGAGAAGCAGTACCTACAAGAAAACACAAATAAAATGGAGCCCTGAGGAACAGGAAGGCTGGTAGGACATCTGGCAAAGGTCAGGAGTGGGCTTGCGAGAATGAAAACATCTCCTACCAGGAGGAGTCCATCCACACGGCAATGGTAATGCTGACACCTAGGCGTGAAAATGAAATCTGGTCCAGGAGGTTAGCTGGGAAAGACCTCTGAACCTTGGCAGGCAGGAATTGTTTCACAACATTTTTTGTTTAAGTTAAAGGAAAGACTATATCTGTGCTTCCTAAAAATAAGGTCAACAAATATCAGATGTTTCGGTGCCCCGGTCACATTCTCGCAATTCTCCTCTTACCCACAACGGGCAGTGGGTCCTATATGCTATTCCCAGACAAATGTCAGGGAGAAGGCCTGTGTTAACATGCAGGAGGCATGGGAAATCTGGGGCCTGAAACTGAAGCACGGGGACAGAAAGTCTTCACTCCTCCTATAGATACCAACCCTTCCGGACCGGGATGGGGCATCCAGAAGACAAATTTTGGCCCATACTGTCACCTGCCCCTCCAAATCACAGGTCCTAGGCAGTAAAACACTTTTCTACCACCTCCCCAGAGGAGGTGTGCTCTGCCAGTTCTCAGCCCTGAACACAAAGGCATTTTTCTTTTATTTTTACTTTTTAAAAGTTTATTTATTTTGAGAGAGAGAGTTTGAGCGCGTGCGTGGGAGAGCCTAAGTGGGGGAGGGGCAGAGAGAGGGAGAAAGAGCATTCCAAGCAGGTTCTGAACTGTCAGCATGGAGCCCAATGCAGGGCTCAATCCCAAAACTGTGAGAGCCAAAATCAAGAGCCAGATGCTTAACCAACTGAGCCAGCCGGGTGCCCCACAAACCTATTTTTAAAATGAGCAAAGCAGAACACAGAGAAGTTAAGGGGAGAGCTTCCCTAAGGACCCCACCACCAGGAGACTACCTCTAAACTTCCCAGTGTGGTACACACTCTTCCTGATTTTTCAAAGTGCACGTATGAAACACACATAATCAAAAACCCAAGTAATATTATTCACTCTGCTCTGTAATCTACTGACTGATACTTCTGTTCCACATGGCAACACACATCTTGGCACAGGTGTCCAAATAATTCCTTATGGCAAATTCCTAAATGTAGAATTTCTGGGTCCTGACACATTGTGCCAAAATGCCCTCCAGAAAGTCTCTGCCAATTCAACTCGTGCCTACTGTGTGTGAAGGTGCACATCTCCTCACGGCCTGGCCTGGCTGGGACTGGCATTCCCGTCTGTGCAGCCACAGCGGTAACTTTGACTCCAGATCATCAAGGTCCTTTACAGAGCTATAAAACATATAGAGAACGATACCACAGAAAAACTAGTCATCCATAATCCCACTACTCAAAGACAATCAAATGTGGAAATAGGTTTTCTTTAAAAAAAAAAAAAAAATTACACCTATACTCTGTGTGATACTGTACAATTTATTTATTTTTTTAGTGTTTGTTTATTATCGAGACAGAGCAAGACAGAGCATGAGCATGGGAGGGGCAGACAGAAGAGGAGACACAGAATCTGAAGCAGCCTCCAGGCTCTGAGCTGTCAGCACAGAGCCCAACACCGGGCTCGAACCCACCGAATGCGAGATCATGACCTGAGCCGAAGTCAGCCGCCCAACCGACTGAGCCACTCAATACTGTACAATTTAATATTTGCCCTTCTTCTCTTAAAAGTTTATCATCAGCAAAATGCTAGCAAACCTAACCAGCAACATGCAGAAAGGATTACACACCATGATTACATGGGACTTACAACCAGGAAAGCACGGTTGGTGTAACATCTGCAAAGTCAATCAATGTTAGTACTGCGTATTAACTGAATAAAGGGACCATAAACACACGATCATCTCAACTGACAGAGAGAAAAAAAAGCATGTGACAAAATCCAGCACCTCTTCATGCTAAAAACATGCAACAAACTGGGACCAGAAGGAAGTTTCTTCAATCTGATCAAGGGCTATGAAAAATCCACAGCTAACATCATATTTAATGGTGAAAGACTGAAAGAAAATGTCTTCAGTCTGATCAAGGGCTTCTATGAAAAATCCACAGCTAACATCATACTTAATGGTGAAAGACTGAAAGCTTTCTTCCTAAGAATGTCTGCTCTTACCACTTCTATTTGACACTGTGCTAGAGGTTCCAGCCAAGGCAATTAAGGAAGGAAAAAGAGACACGACAGCCAGATTGGAAAGGAAGAAGTAATACATATTCATAGATAATATGATCTGCTATATAGAGAATACTAAGGTATCCAGAGAAAACTATTTGAACTATTAAATTTATTCAATGAGGTTGCAAGACAGAAGATTAACATACAAAACGTATACTTCTATACATTAGCAATGAACATTCTGAAAATGAAATGAAGACTTTCATTTATAATACACCACCCAACAGTATTTTTTTTCAAAACAATAGAATATTTAGGAATAACTTAACAGTAGTTGTGTAAAACTTATATTCTGAAGACTATAAAACATTGTTGAAAGACATAAAAGACCTAAATAAATGGAAAGCTATCCCACGTTCAAGAATTGATACATTTGGGGCGCCAGGGTGGCTCAGTCGGTTGGACTTTTGACTTTGGCTCAGGTCACGGTTTGTGAGTTTGAGTCCCGTGTCGGGCGCTGTGCTGACAGCTCAGAGCCTGGAGCCTGCTTCAGATTCTGTGTCTCCCTCTCTCTCCCCTCCCCTCCTCACACTCTGTCTGTCTGTCTGTCTCTCTCAAAAAGAAACAAACATTAAAAAAAACTCTTAAAAAAAAATCAGAACACTTAACATCATTAAGGGGCCAATGCTCCCCAAATTAATCTATATATTTGGCACAATCCCAATCTAGCTGCCTTTTCTGTAGAAATGAAAAAATGCATTCTAAAAATTAACATAGGAATGGAAGAGACCCAGAATAGCCAAAACAATCTTGAAAAAAAAAAAAAAAGCTGAAGAACTCATGTCTCAATTTTGCAACTCACAACTATACAAGTATAGTCATCAAAATACTATGGTACTGGTATCTGTATGGACAGACACATAGATCCATGAAGTACACGGGAGGATCCAGAAATAAAGAAATACATACATGGTCAATTGATTTTTGACAAGGGTGGTAAGACCATTCAATAGAGAAAGAAAAAGTCTTTTTACCAAACAATACTGGACAACTGGGTCTCCACATGCAAAAGAATTAAGCAGGACCCCTACCTCACACCATGCACAAAAGAGGACTCAAAAATGGCTCACAGACCTAAATGTAATAGCTAAAATTACAAAACGTTTTTAATGTTTATTTATTTCGAGAGTGAGAGAGAAAGAGAATCCCAAACAGTCACCACTCTGTCAGCAGAGTCACATGCAGGGCTAGACCTCAAGAACCGTTAAGATCATGCCCTGAGCCAAAATCAAGAGTTGGATGCTTAACTAATTGAGCCACCCAGGTGCCCCTAAAACTACAAGACTCTTAGAAGAAAGCAGAGGAATAAATCTTCACGACCTTGGATCAGGCAATGGTTTCTTAAACGGTATCATACCAAAAGCACACATAAAAAAAGAAAAAACAGAATAACTGTATTTCATAAACATTAAAAACTTATACTTCAAAGGATACTTTTCACTTCAAAGAGGGTGAAAAGACAATCCACAGATTAGGAGAAAATTTTTGTGAATTATGTATCAGATAAAGGACTTGAATCCAAAGTGTACGGAGAACTATTATGATTAACAATAAAAAGATAAACCAATTAAAAAGTGGTCAAATGATTTGAACAGACATTTTGCTGAAGATCATACACAAATGGCCAGTGAGCCCATGAAGAGATGCTCTACATAATTAGTCACTAAAGAAATGCAAATCAAAACAACAGTGAGATAGGATTTATTGCCCACTAAGGCTAAATAACAGACAATAACACTTGTTGGCAAGGATGTGGAGAAACTGGAACCCGCACAAAGTGCTGGTGGAATGGTAAAATGGTGTGGCTGCCGTGGAAGACAGTCTGGCAGGTCCTCAAAATGTTAAACAGAGAATTACCATATGAATCATCAACTCCACTCTTAGGTACACACACCCAAGAGAGATAAAAACTTATGCTCACACAAAAACACATGAATGTTTATAGTGGCTTTAGTCGTTAATTGCCCAAAACTGGGAACAACCCAAATGTGCTTCATCTGGTGAACAAACTGGTGTATCCATACAGTGGACTACTGCTCAGCAATAAGAAATGAGTTATCGACTTCATATAACATGGATGAATTTTAAGTGCATTAAGTTAAGTCAAAGAGGCCAGACTCAAAAGGCTACATGAACTGAACAGATTCCATTTGTTACACTATTGGAAAGGCAGAACTGCAGGGATAGAGAACAGATCTCTGGGTGCAGGAAGGAAGGTGCTGCCCTGTTATCAAGACTCTACAAGAGAATTTTTACAGTAATGACAGTTTTCTATATCTTGACTGTGGTGGCTACATAACTCTATACCTTTGCAAGAATTCATGGAACTTTTTTTGTTCTTTAAGATTTTATTTTTAAATCATCTCTATGCCCAACGTAGGGCTTGAACTTACAACCCTGAGATCAGGAATCGCATGCTCTGGGGCACCTGGGTGGCTCAGCTGGTTAAGCATCCAACTCTTGGTTTCGGCTCAGCTCAAGATTTCATGGTTCTTGAGTGTGAGCCCAGTGTCAGGCTCTGTGCTGACAGTGTGTAGACTGTGTGGGATTCTTTCCCCACCCACTGACCCCTTCCCTCCCCTGCAAAAAAAAGGACCACGTGCTCTACTGACAGAGCCAGCCAGGAGCTGTGAATTCCAAATTCACGGAACTTTATTTACTAAAAGTTTATTTATTTTGAGAGAGACAGCAACAGCACAAGAAAGGGAGGAGCAGGGAGACGGGGCGGGAGGGGGATGGCGCGGGGAGAGAAAGAGAGAGAGGAAGAAAGAGAGAATCCCAAGCA